TCTGCCTAGCATTTTAAATTCTATGTAGAAGCCTCACCTAAATAATTGAGATGTTAACTTTATGGGAGCCAGGATTACTTTCTGCTTCCCTTCCTAATCATTTAATATTCCCTTCTCTTTTGCCTAGCATTCTAAATTATAAGGAGAGACCTCCCCTGAATAGTTGAGATGTTAACTACCAAATGACCTTTCTTTAGCACCCAGAACATACAATGATCTTTGTAAAACCCCCTCCTTTCTTTAATTCTATGGTAATAGCATTTATGGGGTCATCACTTAACACAAAGGATTTGCAGAACAGCAATGTGTCTGTCTGAAAAGAAAATGTAGGAACTGACCTGGGAGGTAGGCGTCACTTAAGATGTTTTGGAAAAGACTCACACCCTACTTGACAAAAACCCCACCCAAACTACAGTTTCACTACACCTTCCTTTCCTCCTTAGCTTCTTCAGGGCCACTAAATCTAATTCCTTCTTACCAACACTGGCCTCTTGAATATTAGTACTTAACTGATAGGCAGCCCAGACCTCTGTTTCTGGCAGAAGAATGCAATGTAATGCTGGGTGTGGTGGTACATATCTGTAATCCCAGTACCCAGGAGTCAGAGGCAGGAAGAAGAAGATGGAGAGTTCAAGTTCATTCCAGTTTTCCAGATACTAAGAGGCTATCTCAAAAAAAAAAAAAAAAAAAAAGAGGAAAGCAGTGTTGTAATAGCGGCGCAATGGGCTGCTATGAACACAGTACTGAAATACAGAAGTTTAGATAATAAGTACCTCATAAAAGTCTGAAGGTAGGCAGTTTCAGGGAAAAACTGCCAGAACTGGGGTGGTGTCCCTGAAATCCTCTTAACCTCTTCCTCATAGTCCTAAATGGTGGTGGCAGCCACTCCAGATATCCTGCCTTTACACAAGAACATCCAAAGAAAGGAAGAGCCTCTCTTCCCACATCCCAGAAAGTCATGACTGGCCACCCTTAGCTACAAAGGCATCTGGGAAAATAAGTATCCGGTAAATGGGACTACGACACCATGACTGGTTTTATACCATGTTGTACCCGCAAACCAAGTATATTACAGGCTGATCAAATTCAGGATGTGTTAGCTTTTAAAAAGTCATGACTATTTAGAGTAGGCAACCAACTGTGTCTGCCATCAACATTTTGAACAAAGAAATCTGCTTTCTAGAAAACAGAAATTCACAGGGCAATCCTGTGATACTTGGGCATGAAAGCTTTTTATAAAAGCCATGTTCCTATTTCAGCAGCCTCAGAAGAAATGGCTTAGCCCAATTTCCCTCCTCAGAACCAGGAAGATATCCACAGTTCCTGAGCCAGGCAGGAAGAAAAGATAACTCAGAACCACTAGGATTTGTGATTCAGACTGAGAGAACTTCTGGCCAAACAAGATGGTGAAGCAGTCTCAAGTGAAATAGAACTTTCCTCCTTTCAGCAGCCTTGGGAAGTGAAGAACACTTTGCCAGGCTAGTTAACCCTTTCTGCATGTTCAAATTCTTTCTCTTCTTTAAGATTCAGCTCACTGACCACTTCCTCCAGGAAGCCTTTCCTATCATTGGCCAGTATGTGCCCCACCGAACTATCCACACATCTACATACACCTGGTATGTACTCCCTACATATATTTACATACATCACTCTGGGTGTTTTTGCCTTCTAACCCTACACACACTAGCTGTCATTGAAATCAGTAGACTTGATCTAAATAGCTATCAATTGTTCCTTTTCTATACTTGGCCTATATGGGTGCCACCATGTGGAAACATGCAAAAATGCTGCATGGAGCAAATGGTTAAGGACTTGCTAGGGGTAGCAGAATGAGACAGAATTAATTTGGTATGTGCTAAGCACCGACTAAGTGCCAGGCATTTTCATCCATCATCTCATTCAGATTCTGATTTAAAGCTGATGCTACAAAAGCAAATGGAGAGACAGGTTAGAGGTTAGGTGTCTCACCCATGGTCTCAAAGCAAGTAACAGATGGAAATTCCTCCTTAAACCTCACTCTTGTTTCTGGGTAAGTGTGCATTAGAAGTCTCTAGACATCTTGGTCTATCTTTTTTTTTTTGGCAGCACTGGGGCTTGAACTCAGCGCCTGACACTTGCTAGGGAGGCACTCCTACCAGTTGAGCCACTCTGCCAGCCTCTTGGTCTATCTTTAAAGTCATACTGACCCTGGTATAATATTTGAGCACACTGTGTCTTGAGATTAATTAAACATTTGCAAATGGATTACACATGTTGGAATCTTTATGTTTTTAAAAAGCTACACGCTGCTTGAGTAGAAAACTAACTCTAAATTAAGAATGGCCAATATCAAAATTTGACTAGAGAATTTTTTTAACTAACTTAATTTTGAATGGGATTTATTTAATGAATTAAACATAGTCATCACCATTTCCTAGCCATATAGCAACTGGTATAAAAATGAAGGATGAGATCTGACAGGGAGGGGTTCAGAGGAAGTTGTCTCTTCCCTGTCTGAGCAAGACCTCTCACACAACCAGTCCCATAACACAACCCACAGACCAATGTTACTCAAAATGTAATCTACTCACCACCCTGTCCAAATCTTCTGGGGTATTTGCTACAATTCTACTTTCTGGGGCCCAGGTCAGGCCCATGGATTCAGATTTTCTGATGATGCCTGGGAATCAGCATTTTTGGTGGTACTGATGCTTGAACTCAGGGTGTCACACTTGCTAGGCAGGTGCTCTGCCACTTAAGCCATGCCTCCAGCCTTTTTTATTTTAGTTATTTTCATATAGTGTCTCTCATTTTGTCCAGGGAGGCCTTACGCTGTGATCTTCCTACCTAAGGCCTCCTCATACTTAGCGAGGATGACAGGCACGTGCCACCATGCCCAGCTTTTATTGGTTGAGATGGAGGTCTCTTGAGCTTTTTACCTGGGTTGGCCTTGAACCTTGATCATCCCAATATCCACCTCCTTCGTAGCTGGAATTATCATCACGAGCCACAGCTGCTGGCTGGAATCGCATTTTAACAAGTACCCCTAGATGTTCCTGGTTCATCCCAAGATTCATCCCAAGAGTGACTTTAGGAACTCAGTAAACATTTAAAGATCATGATGATGTCACATACTGATTTATTTATTTCAAGGGGGAACATTTTCTTTTTGAATCTTAAAAACATTTAAGTAATAGATAAACAAGTAAGCAATTTATCCCAGCAGTCCTAAATGTGAGTCAGGCATTCACTATTTCAACATGAGAGAAATCAAATCTTAAAGATGTGTAACATGTCTTTCCTTGAAACACAGTGAGGAACTGATTGCCTTGCCCTTAGTAGGAGGGCCATAGTTACCAATTTACTGACCAGGGACTTTCATCCATAGCTCTAAACTACTGGCTTAACTCACCTTCGCAGTCAATTCCCAGTTAATTTTATCTTGTGAGGGAATGGCACATTCTCTAAATTTATAATTTCAGAATGCTCTTAGTTAGGAATAAACTCCCTGACTCAACCACTAATTGCATGTTCAGGACACTCTTTTATTCTTCCTCTATACAACCTCCAGAAAAGGTAATTTTTTAGATAACTTACTTCCTTTTCTTACTCGTCTCCACAGTTAAAGCGTTCCCAAACTCACTCTCTTGCCTGCAATAACAATTAGAATTCTGGATATGGGGAATTGATTAGAAAGAAATGAAGGGAGGGAAGGAGGGAGCGAGTGAGAAGAGAGAGGAAGAGAGAGAGAGAGAGAGAGAGCACTGAAGGGCTCCTGTGATTAGACTAACACCTCCAGTGTTTCAGTTTCCCAGTCTCTATTCCTTTGCTTCCTGGGATTTGCCCCAAACATAAGTCCCTAAAACTATGCAAGAACACGCCAGTGTCAGGGTTTACTGGAATCTCTGCATTTGTGTGAGTTCTGAGAGTTTTATCTCCTTGGAAACACAACAGCAGGCTCACTGAAAATGCAGAGAATTTTTCATGCACCATAAGAAAAAACAGGGTTTGGTTTTCCCAAAAGTAGGACTCACGATTCAAAACTGTCACTGCTTCAATAGCATCTTTAGTCAAGAACAGTATTCTGAACAAATTTGTGTGCTTTTCTTAATCAATCTAGTAGTTAGAATACAGTTCAAAATATCCCATTCCTGCATTTCTTTTCCCTGTAAAAATGGAACGTTTTCATTCATTTCATTCCAACGGCCAGGCCATTGCTAACACAGTCACCATCTATGTGAATGATAGAGATTAGACATCAACTTACCTATGTATGCCATTTGTAGAAATTCTGATTTTTTGGGGGGGGAGGGGAGGGCTATAGAAAATCTCCTAGAAGACATTTTGAACCTTAAAATGGATCTGCTTGTTTTGATGTAAATGGTCGTGTGTGTGTGTGTGTGTGTGTGTGTGTGTGTGAGAGAGAGAGAGAGAGAGATTTCTCCATGACTGTCTTTCCTAGTATTACAAGTTGTCTAGCCTGCATTATTAGTAGATTGTGTCTGTCAAATGAACGGGTGAATGAAATCAGTTCTTTGCTTACTCTGTGTACTGAACGGAGTAAACAACAGTGATCGAATAACCTCTCCTCTGTTAGTTCTTTCGCAATAAATTCAATATATTTAACCATATCTATGGTTGGTGCCTACCGTGTGCCAGCACCAGAGATACAAAAATGCAGGGGAAACACGCTGGTTTATTGCTCATCTCTGAAGATTGGCGGGGTGGAGACTTGCCTTCCCCCTTCCACTGGGGCCGGACGGCTGTCAACCCGTCAGTCCACTAGTGGTGTTGAGTACTCCATGGCTCCTGGTTTCTGGGAACTCGCTACTCAGTTGCCAGCCCACCAACCTAGCCACAGGGCTCCCTTTGCACACCCCAGGAGCCAAGGGCTCAAGTTCAACTCCGGGGCGCGGGCTCGCCCTGCTGGGAGCGAACCCGGGACTCCGCGGCGCATCGCGCCTGGTTCCCTCCACCTGTCCCGCCGCCCGACGGGGTGCGCCAGACCCGCGCCCACTCACTTTGCCGCTGTCGCTCACGCCTAGCAGGTGATCCCGAAGCACCTCCATGGGGCAGGTCCAGGTGGAGTGGACGAAAGTCCCTCGGAAGACGTGCGCCAGCGGCGACATCTGGGCGGCACACATATCGGCGGCGGAGCGCAGCGCGGGGTCCGCGGACAGAGCAGGGCGCGCAGGGCGGAGGCGCAGCTGCGGCTCCCGGCGGCTGCGGAGCGGGACCGGCTCGGGCCTCGTCCTGCCCCGCTTCCCCCGGAGATCGTCTGCCCCCTGCAGGCCGCGCCCAGGGGCTGGCTCCCTGCCTCCTCGATGCCAATAGGATTTTCCTCCCGCGATTTGGCTCCGCGTTCCTGTGGGGTGTGGTTTTCTCCCCACCCCTGCGTTAGTTTTGGATGGGTTAACTCTTTGAGTCATCACACCATCATCCACTACCTGCCTTTAGTTCGCACACCTAGACTTGTCTGTCTGCCTTCTCCACTCTTAGGACCCCTTATTTCTTCAACTTGTAGCACCAGGTTCTGAACTTGCACAAGTTCAGTGACAGCTAAAATATCGGTTGAGACTGCCTACCTTGTGATTAATTTCGTTTTCAGTTTCCGTGGACTGCAGAATATGTTTTTTGTTCTCTCTTCAGGTTCTGGAAAGGTTTCTTACAGAACCTGATCAGGACCTCACCATCAGGGCTGAATCTGGAGGTCAACAATTCTCTCTTCCTCTTGCAGTTGATGTTTTGATCTTTGTGTCCATCTATAAACTCATTCTTCTCGTGTCTTAAGTAAATGACTCTTGATTTACTTTCATTTGTACAGGGAGAAAATGAAGTTCACAAGGTAAGTAGAAGAAGTGGCAGTGTAACTAGGGTGATGGATTAGGAGTCAAAACCGTGGGCGAGACACGTGGGTCTGCGGTCCTTATGCCCTCATGTGTGAAAACAGAGCTTGGACTGGGTCATTACAAAGCCTCTAGGACAGTGTACCCTCCTTAGACAACAGCCACAGGCTCCTTTAATAACTCCCTCCAGGAAGGCCCAACCAGTTTCCCTTGGAGTTTGGACACCACGTTCCTTCTGGTCCGAATGATTTCTGCGAATCTTGATGTGGTCACACTTCTCGTCACTGGTTAGCCTTAAATGGCAGCTCTTTGGAGTAACCTTTCCTGACCAACAAACTAGAGAAACATCCTCTCCCACCCTCCAGCAGTTTTGATTCCATCAATCCATTCTTTTTTTTTTTTCTGCCACTGCACTGACCATATCCATCCTTATTTGTCTCATGTTTTATCATTTAATTCTGTTTCTACATGTGTGTGTGTGCCCAGAAGAGCAGGGGACTGTCTTATGCCTGGAACTGTGCCTGGTGTTCCATATGTATTTATTAAATACATGAATGAATAGTTTTTCTGTGGGCAGAGCAATAACCTGAGATAAACATCTATTTTGATTCCTGAATAAAGGGCTAGGGTTTCATTGCAATACCTGAGTAGGCTTTCTCTGACTTACTGCTTATATGACACCAGGCTGGCTTATATAGTTGATTCATTCCCTTCATCTCCTTTGTACCAAGGGTGACCAACTCATCCTGGATTACAGGGGCTTTCCTACATTCATCCTCTTAAGTCTCAACATCCAGAAAACCCTTTGGTCCCAGACGTATGAAGATAGCTGGTCATCCTACCATCGACTCAGAATTAGAAATTCCTGAGTCTGAGGTCATTATACTTACTTCTTGAAGACTTCAGCTGTTTCTCATTTTTTACTTTCTTTTATTTTCAGATCCTTGCAATCACAACAGCCACCACACTGAAAACATCCTCTTGACCTAAGCTTGTATACACACAAGCCTTGGGAGGAAAGATGAAGAAAATGTCTGCTTTTTAATTTGGAAGAGGATTCCATTCAGTGTTTCCAACAGACATATGAGTTCTCTAAAACAGATACAGCTAATATTCTTTGAATGAAGGCAATCTAAATCTGCAAAACTTTAGGCTAGTTTTGTGAACTAGAACATAATATATGTTGTCTCTAGGAACAATAGCAAGCACCTGTAGTCCCAGTCACTTAAGAGGCTAAGGCAGGATTCCTTGGACTCAGGAGGTCAAGTCCAATCTGGGCAACATAGTGACCCCATGTAGCTCAGTGGTAGAGTGCTTGCCTAGTAGGCACAAAGCCCTAGGTTCCATCTCCAGCATCCAAAGAGAAAAAAAGAATACACTTTATTATACATTTATTAAAAACAGAATAATAAATGTCTAAGCACATGAGAAATACATATAATTTGAGACTTCTTAACTAGTATTCTATGATTGAAATCATAGGAAGCCATAAGCATATAAAATTGAAGGGGCCATTCAAACAATGGGAATTGTTCTGTTGAGGTAATGAAATTGCTAGGGAATTTTGTTCTGATGTTCGATATCACCAGGTAGTTTATGGAATGAGTACTCATTGCATAGCTTTAAATAAAGTTGATTGTTTGTGGTGCTGGAGTTTGAACTCTGGACTTTGCCCTTGCTAGGCAGGTGCTCTAACACTTGAGCCACAGGCTGTCCTTGAATCATGATCCTCTCAACCTCCTCCTCAGTAACTAGGATTACAGTGTGAGCTACTAGCAGCCAGCAATATAAAATTATTAACAAAAGAAATGTGTATCACATTAGCACCCCAGCAGAAAAAACTAATTATTAGCTATTTTAAGCAATGCACAGTTCTATTCCAGTCCCAATGAGTTGTAGACACTTGGGCCTCAGGATCCAGAAACCCAGGGCTAGCTCAGAATTCTTGATTTCCCTACTATTCTTGTTGGTTCTCCACCTTCAGACTCGGTGACTACTTTAAACTCATGGTTTCCCTGAGGTTTCGACTTTGCTCACCTTGTATCCTTGGGGAAATACTGAAGTTTGGAGAGGAAAGGAAATCAGAGCTTTTATATTCACCTTCAAAACACAGCCAAAGCATCTCCAGTGTCCATCCCACATGTTCTTCCCTTCAGAAGAAAGACCTCCTTAGCAGAGAACATTCCTGAATTAACTGCTGGCTATCTCCTGGATTCCTCTCCCCTCACTGTCCTACAGGACATGGATCTGTTTTAGTCATGCCCTTACCCCTTGTTTGTGGAGACCTTTGACCACCTGATACCAGGCCTGCTTCATTTTCCCACCCACTCCTCACCACTAAAAGCTTCAGCTGAGTTGCACTCCCCATCCCTACTCTCATTCAGGAAATCTTTACACCTCTGCGCTCTCTCAGATGTTAAGTCTTCCTCCTTTGAGATCCTGGGGTACAAAAATTGTTCCTTTACTCTTTCTCTCCCAGAAGATTGTGTGTTCCAAAGAACCATATCCTCTTCCTTCCTTCCTTTCTGTTTATCAGCTTTACACAGTGCATGGTTAATAGGAGGTGCTCGGTAGACTTATATGAATGTTGAATTTCAAAAAATGGCTCTATTGCCCATTTTTGTAATTCTCTACTTCCAGTGGTGCCAAGTCCCCAAGATGGGCAGGATCAGTATGTTCTAAACCTCTAACTGCCTGAGGTAAAGGAATATCCTGTAAGATGACCTGTTTTGACATTTGGGTCATTTTTATCAATGTAATTATACCTGCAGCAAGTCAATCTCTCCTGCAAGATAGAACTGGACCATTTGAAAAGGCTTTTTCTTCTATTATCTCATTTTGAATTTCACAATCCTTTAAAGTAGGAAGAGGAGCTATTTTAACCATTTCACAGATGAGGAAACAGGTTTGATGAGGTTGGCTTGCCTATCCACTTAGTATGGATAGGGTCTTGACTCCAGTTGTCCTCACATGCTGTCTCATTGTGGTAGACTGAAGAGTTGTACATTCACTTTGTGGGGACTCACTTGGTCACTGCACTGTGGGTGTAATCATTTACAACTTTCACATTGCACACGGGGAATACAGATCTAACTTGAAGTGAAACAAGCTGGGAACAGTGGACCTTGAGAAGAACTGCAATCCAATCACCATAGGTCAGTAGAGTGATCCAGTGAGGACAATTCATGTTTTCAGAAAGAGTGAAGGGCTAGTGGGTTAAATGAGAAGCCACTTTCCCTCTCCTACCTAGGAGAGAAGAAGTCATTGCATGGTGAAATAAATGCCTGCCTATTTTATTTATTCTTTTAGTGTAGCTAAATCTATCAGTTTCCATGGCGCTCTGTGTTCACCATGGAAACTCTGACAAGCTCATTATGCTTTAAGAATAAAAAAAAAAGATACACCAAAATTTGAGAAGGGATAAATGCATTCCTTTTAAAACAGCGTTCTTCTGAGTGGGCAGCTTTGATGGGTAGCAAACCATAATGATCTCAATTTTTCAGTTCTTAAGTAAGAACACAGGCTTGCCTATCCATCGAAAAAGCACCTTTCCACCCTCCCCAAATAACTTCAGCTGTGTAGCAGTAGATACGTCTGGATTTTACTTGTGTTATTTCCTTGCAATAAAGAGATGGCCTAATCGTCATCTTGGTGATTTTTATGACACTGCAGTGCTGGACCGTATATATATTCTTCATCTGTTTGCTCATGCAAGTGTTTGTTGGGCATTTATGTCATAATAGGCACTATGCTAAGCACTGTTGTTATGACTATGCTTGAAATAGGTATTGTCTTGCCCATATGGGATTTATACTAGTATTCCTTATGTCTGCCACCTCTAGGAATAAGAATTAATAGCTTTCAGGCCAGGTAATGGTGGCACATACCTGTGGTCCCAGGAGGTGGAGGTAGGAAAATTGAGAGATTTGAGACTGTCTGGGGCAAAGTTAACCTAGACACTATCTGAAAAACAAACCAAAAACAAAAGGACTGCAGGTGTAGTTCAAGTGGTAGAGTGCCTGCCTAGCAAGCACAAGGTCCTGAGTTCAATCCCCAGTACCCTCCCTCACACACACAAATTAATAGCTTTCATAGTATTATTGTAACATTTTTCTAACATGATTGGAGAATGGTGTACTATCAAAAATACTACATATCAAATTTTAAATGATACAAATATAACACAAGGTACCTAAGACTGACACTAAAATGACACACTGATAACAATGCAGTAGTGTACTATTTCATTAGCAATCCCCATTTTATTTTATTTTATTTTTCATTTTTCTTTTATTATTCATATGTGCATACAAGGCTTGGTTTATTTCTCCCCCCTGACCCCTACCCCCTCCCTTACCACCCACTCCACCCCCTCCCGCTCCCCCCCTCAATACCCAGCAGAAACTATTTTGCCCTTATCTCTAATTTTGTTGTAGAGAGAGTATAAGCAATAATAGGAAGGA